GGCTGGGTGGGGAGGCAGAAGGATGGGCAGAGAGGTCCTCACCCACGAGGGCCAGGATGACCGTCAGGAGGGGTGCTGCAGGGAAGGCGATGGCCATGTTCATCTCCAGCATCTGCAGCAGGTCCACTGCGGGCAGAGGGTGGAGGGCGGGCAGACCGGGTGAGGCGCCCCTCGGGGGGTGGGGTAGGCAGGGAGCCATGGGGGCCATGGGGGCCTAGGGCTGACCCCACTATTCCTCCCGCCACCTGGAGGGCAGACTCACCAATGAAGACAAAGATTTGGTGATGGGAGTATCGGAGCAGCATGGACACACTCAGGGTCTGCAAGGGAAGGAGGGTGAGGCTAGGGAAGGGCCACCTGCCCCAATACCCTCTGCCCCAGCCCCAGTCTCAGGACACTCACAAAGATGACCATGATGACAAAGGCAGCCAGATAGGATGCTCGGGCCATCCACATGCTCACAAATCTGTAGTGCTCACCTGACACCACGTTCCGCAGGAAGCCTGTACAGGGAGGCCGTGAGCACCACTGCCTGCCTTCCATCCCGCCACTGCAACCCCCACCCTCCCTAGCCCTGGTCCCAATTGCACCCTTGTTCTCTTCGTTCTCGGCCAGGCCCTTCACGCTGGACATGAGGATGTCATCGTAGCCCAGGAACTCAGCCAGCAGCAGGCGGCTGAAACGGTCCCCGAAGCACTGGTCCCGTGTGGGGTCTGCAAGTGGCACACCAATTGGGGTGCACCTGGTAAGGCTTCCATCAGCCCTCATCCACCCCACCCAGGCAGTGCTGTGACTGTCAGACCTGGGGGACAGTCCAATGAGACAGGGGGTTGGGGAGAGCTTTCTGCAGCTGGAGCAGGGATGGCCCCCGGACCTCGGTCTTAAGCGCTTCTGAGTCAACCCCTACCCTGGCCATCTCCCAGGTGACTCACCCAGGGTGACAACCATGACTGGGATGCTGAGCCGCTGTCTCGTGGCCTGTGACAGGCGCAGGAAGCCGTACTCCAGCGAGTACTCCACAATGTACTCGTCCTGTGGCCACACTGGGTGGGAATGGCCTGTCAGCCTGCAGAGCCCCAGCCAACCCTACTCCCACCTTCAGAGGAGGGGCCCAGAGAGGGAGGGGCCCAGAGCACCTCCATCAGTCTCACATGCTGACAGATGGGGAAATGGAGGCTAGGAGTGGCCATTCTCCCCATTCAGGAGGGTGACTCCACCTGATACCTTGGCAACACGTACCTTTCGAGGGTGTCTCAGGGAAGGGGAACTCCTGGCTATCATTCAGGGCCTCGGGGCCAGTGGGTGGCTTCAATACCTTGGGCTCAATGTCCAGCTCAAACTGTGGGTCACCAGGAGGTGGGGCGTCAGTGGGCCCTTGGCACCAGAGGCCTGACACAGAGACCCCCCCTCTCCTGCCACCTGGAAGGAGGAGTGCTGTACCCATCCACTATGACCTCCAGCCTCTGTCAGAATGTCCTCCATCTCTGGGACTGAAGGGCCTCTGACCAGTGTCCCATTAAAAACCCCTCACCCAACACCAAGATCATGGCCATCTCCAGGTCAGTGTCTGTGCCCTGAAGTTGGGGATGGGGCCACCTGGGTGAGGTCTATACAACACCCTACCTACACCGACCCCTTCACCCACGGAACTCTGCCTTCTGACCATACAAGCATGTCCTTCCCTGCAGGCTGTGGGCTCCACACACCTACCCCTGCGGGCAGCTGTGTCATCTGGGATGGCCAGGACTGCTAGAGCTCTCAGCCCAGACCCTCCTTGGGCCTCCTCAGCACCCTGAGAACGAGGCCAGTCCCTTTAAGGTAACAGTCTGCCTCGCACAGCACCCCTATCCCACCCCAAGGCCACATGAGTGCCAGGCCCTGCAAGGTCCAGAGCTTCCCCAGCAGCTCGACCAGCTTACCTGGATAGAGTGGTTCCCAAACATCTCCATAGTTAGCTCCTCCTCCTCCTCCTCCAGCTCCAGACCACCAGGCTCAGCAGCCAGGCTAGGGAAACTGCTGCGACCACTGTCACAAAACTGCAGGAAGACGGGTGCACGACTCGAGTTCTGCTGTACCTCCACGCGTAGGACGCCCTCTCGTGGCCACTTGTCACGCACGTGCTCCAGGCAGTTGATGGGAGATCGGGAGAAGACGATGTGGATATAGGCTAGGACGAAGAGCACAAACAGGGCCTGCGGGCAGGAGGCCCCAACCCCAAAAGTGAGGCCTGAGTTTTGTGGATGAGGGAGAGGATCCCCAGGGCTCTGAGGTCCCCTAAGCCCTAAACCCACCCTGGCCTCTCCTGGCAACATGGATCCTGGGGGTGTCACTGGTCCAAGGCCCTGACAACCTTGCTCTGTGAGAGTTAGGATGAGGCACTCCTTTGCGCATGTGGAACCCCCACCCTGGGAGAGACCATCAACTAACTGCTCCCATCCTAGGAGGCCCAGCCCAGATGCCACCACCCCTGGGCCACCTGCTGGGCCCCTACTGTCCCCAAGAGGCCTACCCAGCCACCTCACATTCTGCCTTGTCCTCAGAGTGCCCCTGACCTCACCAGCTAAAAACAGCCTCTCTCGCCCACCAGGCACACTCTGGCAGCGCCAGCTCTCTCTGCGGTACTTTCTCCATCACTAAAATAAGGACAGCAGGGGTTTCATCTGGATGCTCCTGTGCCCAGGGGGTGGTGCCAGGGGATGCTGCTCAGCACCCCAGTGATCAGGATGGCCCCCCAAAGAACAAGCAGCCTGATGTTAAAAGTGCCGAGGGGGTCTCTGCCTAGGTCACTAACAGCACCTTCTGCCTGCCTGGCTCAAAGTAAGTGCATCAAAAGGACCCTCCATTTGTATCTATTTAGAACACCCTTCCCCCAAGAGCTCACCTCACTGACAATCTTGCTTCTCATAGGGCCTCAGATGGCCAAGTGTCACCCTCCCATCCTTGAAGCCATGGGCATCACCCCCATATACCCTGCCCACTGCCCACCTTTGGGGAAAGGGCCCAGCTGGCCCAATGTGGTGCCTGCCTCCTTGGGAAAAGATAGGTGTCAGGGAACCTTAATGGCTATTCAGCCAAAAAATGGGGTGATCCTTCAGCTGGGCCAGCACAGCCTCTAACCACCCCCACCAAACACATGCTCCCACACCAAATTACTACTCTCTGGGACCAGCTGACTGTGTGGTCCAGAATCACAGCTTGGAAAAACCTGGGTCACAGACACCAGAGCACAAAGTCCCTCCTTGCCTTCTGACAGGGATACTGATGCTCAGGGGGTTGTTGAGTTGCCCATGGCTACAAAGCCACCAGTAAGGCCTCCAGAACCCCATAGGGAAGTATCAATGCCAGCTGTGGACCACTTGGCCTCCCCTCTGGAGTCTGCTCTGCAGACTAGGCAAAGGCTGGGTTATTAAGGCACCTACTCCTGGTCTGGCAATGGTGGCTGTGACCTGAGAGGGATGGGGAGAGGCGCTATGTCTGAGCACACCATAGCATGCCTGGATCCAGCCATGCCTGAAGCTGCAGGAGCCCATCCCAGACTCCTCAGTTGCATGAGCTCCAAGAGCTCTCTTGGGCCAATGTGAACCACTTCCTTGCTTGCAGACAAAAGTGCCACAGGAGGATGGAGGTTAGGGCATCAGTAAGATCTCAGCAGACAGACCTCATAGAACCTGGGCATTCAGGTCTCAACAAACAGATGCTAAAAACAAGAGTACCTGGGGCCTCTGTTAGGTGAGGAGAGGGCTGGGTGAGGCAGTGTGGAAGGTCAAAGGAGCCTCCACAGGCCAGCCTGCACCCCAGCCACTCTTCTGGGGACCACTGGGCTGGTGATGGGAGTTGTGAAGTGCAAGAGGCAGGGCCTGGGACCCAAAGCTGTGGTGGGAAGCAGGTAGCTAACTCCGAAGCCTCTATGCTCAGCCCCCAGCCCCGCTGCTCTCCAGGCCCTGGGGCTGGCCAGCAACCCAAGTGCCTCCACATCCAGCATTAGCCCTCAAGCAAACCCAAAGCTGGCTTCACAATGTCAGCACCCCCAGCCCCTCCCTGGCAGTACTCCGATGGGAAACTAAATGCCTGTTTCTCCCTGTCCTCAGCCAGGTCAGGCAACAACTGGGACCACCCCTCCGCTCCACCCAGAAACCCAGAACCCTAGTGCCCAGTGAGCTCTGGGCCCACACTTGAGCGAGCCAGCCCCCTTCTTAGAGGAAACTAGATCAATGTAGGTTCTTCCTGAGATGCACTCATGGTTGAAACCTCTATGCCACCTGAGGGAAGATGGGAAGGAGTTTTGTGTGCAGCATCTTGTTAAGACATGAGTAGCATCGATGGCTGTGACGTTATCATTAACCCTGGGAGGTGACCTCAGCTAGATCACATTCCCCTGTAAGGCTCAGAGGAGGAAGAGTTGAGTTGGGGGGGCTGGTAGAGGGTCCAAAGGAGGGGAATAGCCCCAAGAAAAGGGGATTCAGAAGGAAGAGATGGAAGGGGGAGCATACTTCCAGTGCAGGTGGGTGGTCCCAGGTGTATCCTAAGGGGAGCAGGGTGCTCTGGAATCTTTCCCAGTTTGAGGAAGCCCAGGATTGGGGACCTGGGCCAGGACAGGCAAGAGAGGACAGGATTGGGGGGGGTGTCCTCCCAAGGTTGATGACCCCAAGTAGCATGGTAGGGGACACAGGGCTGGAAGGAGGTCCCAGGCAGGTCAGAACGAGGCTCCAGGCTTCAGGGAAGTGGGTCATCAGTAAAAGGGTGAGGCCAAGAGTGGGTGCGGCCTGGGAGTTCCTGGAATCGGGACCAGGGGCCACCCATAGGGTGAGATTCGGGCCTTCTGAGGGTGAAGTGTCAAATAGGGGGGATCAGAAGTTAGGGCGGCTGCCTAAAGGGGATGGTACCCTACGGATCAGACCCGGTCTAGACCTCCAAGTGAAGGGGGTTGGCTGTCCTGGGTGGGTTCGGGGTCAGAGGTCGCAAGTCTAGGGGGTGTGGATCCGGCTGTTGAGGTCAAGAGTCGGGGGGTCGGGGCCGCGGTCACCTTGAGCAACACGAAGAACTCGAAGAGACGGCGAAAGGCAGGAGGGAAGAGACGCGAGTAGGTGACTGCCATCTTGAAGAAGAGCGCGTGGAAGAGCCGGTCGCGCACGTTGATGAGCGGGTTGGGGTTTAGGTTGGGGGTGCGG